GACCCCTCTGGGCCAGTTTCTCCATCTGTAAACCAGAACTGGAGATTACCCATTCAAAGCACCTGTCCCACCATAAACACAAACAACGGTGGCTGTCACTGAAATTGTGGCTATTAGTTCATGTCCAAGGGGAAGATACTTGAAGCAAAGATGATAACCGGCTCTGTCCATGGATGACAAACTATTGTAAATCTGGCCAAGCTTCCTGAGCCAGCACTGGCATCCTGGCAGGTGGGAGTGTCTAAAGGAGTCTCTCCCAGCAATGACTGATCCAAACCTCCCCATGTGCCCACACTCATTCTTTGCTTCCATTTACATTTAACTGGCTCTGATAGTTACTCAAGCTAAATACTGCCTGCCCAGAAATACAATGCTTAGTGCACATTAGGAACAAGAGGCTGACTTAGTTACACCTCTGGTATATCTCAAGCACTGTCCTTAGCAATCAATTTGCCATTTTGATGATGCACAATAACTGGCCTATTAAGCTAAGAGTCTGCATTTGTTAAATGCAAGCAAACAAAGCCTGAGTCAACAGTTGCTCCTCTGATTGTAAAAAGCTCCTCTCCCTGAGGACTGTGTGGGAGGTGGACTGCCTTGTTGGGGCAGTGGAACTTCTGAGCAGACAGTGGGGAAAAAAACCAATGTTACTAAAATCCCACACCCCTCTCAGACATCACTGTATGAGCCTGAGGTGGGTGCCAAAGAAATTACCTACCCTTCCCTCCAAGGCTGCACACCCAAATAGCAAGTGTCAATAACATTTAATTTGATACTGTTGTTGTTGGAGTTTTTCAGAAGCTTGGAAACAGAAAAGATATGTGACAAAGTGGTGATCCCATAACTCTTTCAAGAATAATGGGAGTTTGAAGAAGGTGACTGTGCTGTAATTGCAGGCACAATATAGACATCGACTATCTGGGGTTTGGAGAAGAACCAATGAGATTGTTACTGGAATTGTGAGAAACTTGGTCCTGACTCCTTTAATAAACCAGGCCAGTTAAACAGGCAATAATGAAAAGTAGAGAAAGATTTATTCAACGTGGCCACACTAGTAAGAGGATCAGAGAAGCCCAGTGACCTCCTGCTTACCCCAGGTCCATCTTCAGGGTTCTAACCTGAGGTTTAGGTTTAAATGGAGAACAAGAGGTAGCATAACTGAGCAGCCCTAACCAAGTCATGGCTCTACCCATCACTGTTGTCTCTGCTTCATTCTCTTCTTCAAGGTGGTCTGACAAGATGTCAGAACTGTGTGAAGTCTCTTTTCCAGACACAAGTTCCCACTCTGTGTGGCATAAGACTTCAGAAATTCCTTCTCCCATCGTGAAATTCCTGGGGAAATTCCAATCCCTTGGACTATGGTTTTGGTAGTCTGTCTTAGTTAGGGTTTCTATTGCTGTGAAAAGACACCATGATCATGTCAACTCTTATAAAAGAAAAACACTTAGCGGGGGTGGATCACTTACAGTTCAGAGGTTCAGTCCATTATCATCATGGTAGGAAGCAAGGCAGCATGCAGGCAGACACAGTGCTGGAGCTTAGAGTCCTTACTTCTTGATCCCAAGCCAACAGGAAGTGAACTGAAACACTGGGTGTGGCTTGAGCATATGAGACCTCAAAGCCCACCTCCATAGTGACACACTCCCTCTAACAAGATCACACCTACCCCAACAAGGCTAATAGTGCCATTCCTGTTGAGGGTCATTTTCTTTCAAACCACCACATAGTCTAAATAGTCTAATCCCTGGGCTCTTTGGGTACCTTTAGTGTTCAGCATCAGCCACTGGGCTACACTCAGGCCATACCAGCAGTTACTAAGTCAGTTAATTCAGGTGATACAGAGTCATGTCTTACACTTATGCTCACACCCTATTCTTTCATTTCTCATCTCTGCGGCTGTTACCTAGACTCACATCCTGCACTGGAGCAGCTTCTCAATACTTTTTGTGAGGGGTAGTAGGAGCAGGAGTTCTTACAGGATCTCATGTTTCTCAGGCCGACTTTGAAATCACTGTGTAGCCAGGGATGACCTTGAACTTCTGATGCTTCTGTTTCTACCTCCAGAATGCTAAGATTCTAGATGTGAGCCACCATATGAACTTTGTGCAGAGCTGAGGATTGACTGGGGGGTTTCTTCAGCACACTAGGCAAGCACTCTACCAGTTGAACTGCATGCACCATCCGGGTAGAGCTTCTTAAAGACCACAGTCGTCTACCTTCTGATAATCTAGCGCTATGAAGCATGAAACATTCCAATCTCTTGATTGGGCCAATCTGCTCAAAAAGAGGTGGGATCAAAATCCACCCAAGAGCAGGCTAATCCGAATGTGGAAGACGGAGAGGCTCATAGGGCCTGCCCCTATCTAGGGATTTATATAATTAAAGTCTGCTGGTGATGTGAAACATTGCCTTCAGTGGTGTACCCACTGGTAAGGTGTTTATGTTCCTGTAAATAAACTCTCCTCTACATTCTGATAGCACTCATCAGACGGACACACACACACACACACCAGCAAGCACATGTGCGTGCACACATGCACACACGCACACATGAGCACACACACGTGTAGAAGGAGGGCTGGTTGGCAAGAGGAAGAAGATTATGAGTTATATGAGTTATGAAAATGTCACAGTGAAATCCATCATTGTGTAAGAGAAATATATGCTACTAAAAACATTTTTAAAAATAACTACTACATATAAAAAACTTAATGGCTCTAGAAATACTTTTAAAAATAATTTTAAAGGAAAAAAATGTCCTTTCTCTTCAATGTCTTTCCCCTGGTAATCTTCTATTAGGTGTGTATCTGCCTGGACTTTTTTTTAGGAATGCATGTATTTGGTACTTTTCTTTTTCACCAATTCACAGAAGAGCTTCATAAAAAGCTTCTGTACTACAAGAGGGACTTTCCTGAAATCACATAAAATACCATCCCTATATGATTCCTCAGAGCCCCATTCACTCAAAATAATGGAAATTTAAATCCAACCATCCTGCCAGGGGAGTATGCTGAGGCCCAGGACTCTAATTTTTGTTGCTGTTATATTTCTGTTGTCCCTGCCTCTGCTGGTTTAATTAGTGCATGGTATCATCTGAAGCAATGTCATTTTTATTCCTGTTATGGCCAGAGGCAGTTAACAGACAATTCACAGTATTTTTGATTCTATAAAACCAGCCAGCTTCTTGCTTTAGCATCTCCACCGAAGAGGACACTCTGAGTCTGAGGCTACAAGAAAGAAAACACTTTAGGACTAAGGACGTCATTCAATGGAGCGCTCCTCTACTAACATGGATAAAGCACTGGGTTCAGTCCCCCGCACTGCCTAAACAGGTCATGGTGACACACTCCTGTAATCCCAGTCCTTGGGAGACAGGTGTAGGCCAGAGACTGGGAGTTCAAGGGCATCTTTGGCTACTTAGCAAGTTTGATATTTTTAAAAGATGGACAGAGAGGGAGAGAGAGGGACCAGAAGGGGAGGGAGGACAGAAGATGTTTTCCATATAGGTCTTGGAAAGAGCTCTCCTCTCCTTTCTGAGCTGGTAGTTATGGACTCCAGGCTGTTCGAAGTGCTTTGATCTCCTGACCATATGCTAAAAATAGATTCAAATATGAAATTCTCTAAGAATTAACTAAAATTTTATTTTTTTAGTAATGAAAAAATAGACTTAAAACCTTGCTTGTTTGAACTCAAGAGGCTAGCCACCAAAACACCAATCAATGAAGTTAAAAAATGGGGTGCAGAACTAAATAGAGAATTCTCAATAGAGGAATCTAAAATGGCTGAAAGAC